AAAGGTGTGCTTGGTAGGTGTGCTTGGTTAGTAGGTGTGCGAAGCACAATTGCTCCCCATCCCCCGGAATAAAATGCTAATGGGACATGCACAAGTGCATACATGTGTGATCCCGGGTGGGGGTTTGGAAATAGGGTCACCCTAATTTAAACCCTGTTACTTTGGGGAATATAATTGTAGCATGATATAGCTTGATCATGTATGATAAACCCATCTATGGGGTGTTACCGACTGGTGGAATCCAGCAGGACTGCCGTTAACTCCTTATGCCAAGTTTAAATCTAGTGAACCCGTGTATATAAATGGGTAAGGTCTGTATCTATGTTTGATGCTAATGCTAACATACCATTGTAACCAACAGGCAATCTGTCTGTGGCAATGTCAACCATTTTGGGGATGCTAATGCTAATGAGTGCAGTTTAAGTGAAAGGTTGACGCTAACGTGCTAACTTACCTCTATCTCTCTGAGTAGTTCTGATTGGCCGCAGGTCTCCAGATCCTCAAGTGCCTGACACCAGAAACTGTCATCTGGATCCAATAAAATACCGTCTGGTTGTTGGCCAATAAATCTGTCAGACACACACAAACACAAATTACATGAAATGAATCTGCTTTGGGAAAAAAGTTATCTCACCTGGTTGCAATGTCACTGGTTGCTAGAGAAAAAACACTTGGGCCGAATCCTGGTGGAACTGCCTCTTAGTCATGAATTCGTATGTAAACTGTGTTTTTTTTCTCTACATAATGAATGTTTTCTTTACCAAAAAACAGTAACCTGACCATGAGTCATCGTAATGTTAACAAATGTGTAATGGAATTGAGTCTGCACATGAAAGCAGAAATTCTTTGTATTTTATATGTATTAGCCATGAGGTAGCATCATGAACAAAGCCGATTTGAACCCGTGTCAGTACAGGACATGACTATTTGTTCTGGTTAAATCCAACAAGAGTAATCTAAATGTCCTTGACTGACAAGATTAATTCACTTTCACTGTGCAGCTGATTTTTTTTCTCACCATCCTTCCTCTCTCAGTCTCTCCACCCCCATTAGTGTTATATAATCCCAGTGAACGTTGCTATCCTCACAAGACTTAACCTCCTGACTCATCACTACACACGCAGAGACACAAACACACAGCTCCTCTGTCAGTTTCACTGGCTTCATGACTCAACCTCCACAGTGAAATTTTCACTTTACCACAAATTCTAGCTAAAGCTAAAACACGTACTAGTATAAAATAATAAACAAGTATATACAGTAAGTTAATTATTAACTTGTAAAAATGCAGACCTTTTTCCCAATCTCAGCTTCTCAAATGTGAAGATACAACAAAATTTCTTCCTAATTTATATACCTATAATGGGAACCTCTTTTGGTTTTAGACCGTACCATTTTATAGACTAATATAAAAAACTAAATAAACAGATTATTTGATATGATTGCCACCACCCTTAAATTAAAACCAAGAAGAAGACCAGTTTTTCACAAATGCCAAATAGAACTTTTTTTGAAAATGTTTTTTAACATCATGACATGGCTGATTTATTGCACTAAGGCAAGATTGCACTAAGGCAAGATTTTCATGCAGTACACAAATTAAATGGAAACCAATGGCTGGTTGGATTGAACAAAAAGATCTAAAATTGTATATGGTGTATTCAAAACTGCTCAGTAAAAATACAAAGCATACATGATTTGCAGTCAAAAAGATAAAACTAAGTTCAGTCCTACCCTGGTGGTTTGTCCCAGTCATCCTCACTGAAACCTCCGTCGCTGAAAGGGTAGTTCTTCCGGCGTCCAGGGGGAGGTGTGGTGCTGCGCTGCTGCTTTGCACTACGCCATTCATGGGGATGGAGGGCAATACCAGCAGCCTGGTGGCTGTACGTACCTGCAGGACGAGTGAAGGAATTAGATGAAATGCTCATTTACAGATTGCCAATATATAGACAAACCCATTTTGGATTACAGACAGAACTAGAGCTGCCCCCTAATAGTTGAATTAATCGTTAGTCGCCGAAAAAACAAATACAGCATCAAACTCCATTGGGAGCTGCGCCTTGTCACTAGGACGAAAATATCAGGGGACTGTTGCAACACATGGACACACTTACCAGTGCACTGTTGCATGTGCTAACTGTATTAGCTGCTGCCACTTGCTAGTTCACGGTCCTATAAGCTAACTATACCCAGACTAGTTGACTACTGGCTTTATTTAACAACTACGAGTCGATTAGGAAAATCTTAAATCGGGGACATCCCTAGATAGAACCATTTGGCTTTGGGATTTTTCTTCACTAAAATATAAAAACTACAAAAGTTTCCATTAATTTTGATCCATCAAACTTTTTAAAGTTACTCTAAATAAGTTTTGCTGTGTATGGTCATGTTGGCCTTTCACCACCTGCATGTCTTTATCTTAAACTTACCCTGGCTGCCGTAGCCGGCGTCCATCCCTGAGCCGTCCCATGACTCCATGGCAGAGTCGACACTGGGTATTGTTGTGGAGTAAAGCTCTGACAGCTTATTTGTTTGTTGGCTGTCTGTCAAATCATCCTCCTCAGGGTCACTGAGCTCATTCTCTGTTGTGTCCTCTACCTCTGCTGCCTTCCTCTCCTCTAAATCTTGGAGAGAAAAAGCTGAAATTGGGTTTGTCTTATGAATTGATTATCAAATCAGAGGCAAATATTGATAAAAATACAACAGAATCTTTGACTAGTGCAAAGTTATAATAAACAGTTTTTTTTATACTTACTGTCAAGCTGTTTTTTTATCTTGAGGGTGACCGTCTCTCCAGCCATCTGAAGCAGGTGGATGGCTTCACTTAGGGGCTTGCCTTTTAAACTGACGCTGTTGATAGCCAGGATCCGATCACCTACGTGAATAGCCCCTGTCCTGGACCCACATGAAAACACACATTAACACACACATGCACACCGAGTAATGTATAATTCAGTACTATGCACACAGAGGAAAAGAAGATTACTATGAGACACAAGGTGGAGTGAGTTAAATAAATAATGTAGACTAAAACCAGAGCTCTAAAGGAACACGATGATAAACTGTACATTTCTGTTCAGCACACTTGTGCTGTTTGTGCAGACAACTTTTTTGTGTCATTTGTGTGAACTTACAATGCAGTTCTATAAAAGCTAGATTTCAATAGGCTACTGAAACCATGATATATCTTTAACCTTATCATATTTCCTTCAAAAACAACAGTATTGGATACAAGCTAGATGCTGAAGCATTTGGTGCCACAGTGACACTGTCATTGTTTACAGATCAGATTTGGGTTTGTGAATTTAATTTAAGGTCAGTACTGTTTAAACAAAATTCATGTAAACAACCACATGACTACTATAGGGTCACAACAAGGTGACACTGGAATGAATAATACCGGCCCCCTTTCATCCCACTATCACTGGCAGTGAACAGTCCTTTATCTGCAGCCTACTTTGATAAGAAATTTATTTTAAGCTTTTATCTCACACACACACTCACAGACCCATATAACATATTTACTTTAGTGTGTGTTTTTGAGAGAGATGGTTTTCTTGATTTTATTAAACCAGGTTAATAGAAACTAAAGCACTCAAACAGCTCAAAGAAAAACTGGGTTGGTGTAAACACTTTTCACCAGCTACCTAGATATATGCAATGTTGATATCAACTGTATTCCTGCACTTTCTTCTGTCAAGCTGAGCTAAGTTTATTTATAGAGTGCTTTTAGCCAAGAGGTCTGAGGCAAAGTGCTTTTCGACAACAGTTTAGGACAGGAAGTAGAACAATTACATCACAAACTCCCAAGAAATAGGGTCACAGAGTGTGGGTGTGTGGAACTGGGGCAGGGTAAGCAGTAAACTGTCTCCCTGGGTGTGTGAGCCCATTATAAGCTGACATTTTATTTTGAAATGTTGTGTGGTGGACCGGATGTAAGCTGAATTCACCAGTGGACAGTTATGACTCAGGAAAACCATTATGTCATCCTCTGTTCTTGTTGCTGTGGACACTAGCTGCTCTCCCATCTCTCCACGCATCATGTTTCTCATTATCTCATCTGTCATCACTCCATGTCACATTGCACCTGCTGCACATTGCTGCTGGTAGGGAATCCCTCTATTTATTGCCCAAGGCATCTTCTACTGTTTCTCCTAATAAGGTTTTTACCCCACTGATAGATAGGGAGGACTAAATAAGGCAACATAAGCCGGTTCCTTCATCTGTGCAGATCTCCTCTGGAGTTGAGGATTTATCAGGAGGGCGGCTGCTTTACTCCAAACAATTTCACTGTATGAGCCTGAACTGTGTGTGTGACCTTTTGGATGTGTACAAGAACGAGGGACATTAATTACCTTTAGATCCTGACTGGTTCAGTTGGCGTGTCTGGAGATTTAAATAATCAATGAAGTTACACTGCTGGGACTTGTGCGTAAATGCACACAGCGTCTCTCTTAATGGGGAGATGCTTTATCCTGTTTCACCCACCTGTGATCCATCCACTGTTAATCTGTTTATCACTAGGTGCATACACAACAAAACTCATGATCCTCTCCAGGCTTATGCATGGCGGACATAATACTTACTTCAGACAAAGCTTTGTTTTGAATAGGATTTACCATTCTAGCTATATTGGTTCTAAATCAGCTTCTGCTCCCAGGTGACAAAAAAGAAAAAAGGTCATGACCCTTGATCCACAGTCAAGACCTTTGATACCAATGAGGATAATTGTTATTCTAACCACGGATGGAAAAATGGTTCACACTGTCAGGGAGGTTTCCTTTTGTCTAACTATCCACTGCCTGACGAATCCGGGTTATGGATGTCACAATACCAGAAATGTAGTAGTCGGTACCAAAACCAGCTAAATTCCACAATTCTCTATACCAATTCGATACCATGGTAAAAATGTCATAAAGTTTCATTCCCCCAATCCCCCTTTAATATCTGCTAGTATACAGAGTCTGGATCCAATACTACTGTATTTTCCTTAATAATACAGGTAGATCTGCACTGCATTAAGAAAGAAATTGGACGCACTCACAGCAGAGACGACGGAGCACTATGCACAAAAGTTTTGCATCCTCTGTAATAAGGTACTGTAGAAAAGCGAGTATCATCAAGTCTTCTACATGTTGTCATTGACTTGGTACCGAAGTATCACTTCTTGTGACATCCCTAATCCTGCTTATGAGTCTTATTATGTGTGTAGTTTTGATTATATTTACAATATGTCGTTTCCAGACTCTTCTAAGGTTTGTGACTATTGGGTTTATGTAACATGTAACGCAAGCCCAGGCATGGAAAAAAAGGGCTGTGCTTCAGAAAAATGGAATCAGAAAAAATAGCAGCTTGGGAACCAAAGTAGGCGTGTCCTATTGTACAGGTTGTTGGGTGTTGTGCAACAATGTGTGCAACATCTGTTGATGACGCACAAAGCCTTGATTATAATGGTTCAGCTCAAAACTTGCTGGTTTGCTAGATAGCACCAAGATTCCAAGAATCTTGAGCAGAACCGGTTCAAAAACCAGAGCTAATTAGGTGGATAGACAATATGTGTACATGTGTCTATATGTTCAGCAACTAAGTTTTATTGAGACACTTTTAATTATATGGCCCTTAATTAAACCAAAAGACTTTATACAGAAATGGTTTCCCAGATTGAACTAATCAATCAGTACATACAGAATTAAGTACTCTGTTACTAAGTACTGTTAATGTAGTTGTTGCTTCTGTTTGTTGCTGTACATCTGTTTGGTCTCTCTGTCTCTCTGTCTCTCTCTGTCTCTCTCTCTCTTTCTCTCTTTCTCCCCCAAACTGGTCAAGGCAGTATGACCACCCGCCTAGAGCCGAAGGGTCTGGTCCGAGGTTTCTGCCCGTTAAAAGGCAGTTTTTCCTTGCCCCGTCGCCAAGTGCTTGGACTCAATGGTGGTAACTGTTGTGGTCTGTTATAAGGAGTATCAAGGTTAGACACTGCTCTAATTGAAAAGATTCCATTGAAGATTAAACTTCAGTATATGATTAAGGCTATAAAAAATAAAATTTGAATTGAAAATTGATTGAGAAATACTGAAAGCCCTTAGAACAGATAAGATATAATACCCAGATATAAATCCAAGAAACAAAACTTCCCCATGCGAGATGTAACTTAATTTGATCAATCCAGCCCACCCTAGTTCGATGATCTGTGAATTTCAACCTTCGATTGCTGTGTTAATCCTGTAGATCACTCCCCTGTCTAGCCACCCACCTATCACCTCCATATGATTGATAACCATATGATTGCCAGAACGATGAACTGAAAGGTGGGCAATAGGAATCAATAAGTTAAACAAACGTCATACTGCGTAATACCACATATATTCTCCAATATGAAATAAATAACAAAACACAGTGACTGTATAATAAAAATAATGTATTTATGGAACTGTAATACTATTAAATAAAACATAATCTGTACAGACATAATCTCAATCCACCAGCGTAACTGTGAACGGTTCTCGTCCCGAAACGAGGGGACACAACGTGTCCAATCATCGCTGCTTTGTAGACATTCACCATGGCAGCCGTGATGCATCCCCTGTCCCCAATCAAATGATCATGTTCAAACCCCACATGAATCTACGTAAAGACCAGTGGAACGACTGGCCAAGGTGCGATTGTGCCTTTGACTGTGTGTCGTGCAGTATAGGAAATTTGTGCCAGGCTCAAACTGGAAGCCGAATGTGACCCCAACATAACTTCGGTTCACTCAGATGTTGCTTGAAATGCAGACGCAACATGCACCAATTACGCACTCACACGAGCTAATATTATGAGTGCATTTACCATCAAATGGCCGAAATATGCCTACAAATCCCCCATTATGATGGACAGCAAATTATTATATAGACCAATTTGTTAACAAGTTCAGAAATAGTAGTCTGATACTATTGTGTCATAAACAATAATGTGTAAAAGATAAATGTTATAGATGGCCAGACCTAATGGAACCACAACCAAACCTATAACTCGCTCAAAACAAAACACCCACGCCATGATAACTCCTATAAGACTTATAGGCGATGATTGTAAATAATAAGATAAAAAACATATCATATCAATACACTACTTATTAGTGTATATCACTATGAAAATTAATTAGAATTAACTTTGTGATGCCATCTACTCACAGAATTCACACCGCATATAATCTCTCTGCCGACTCCACCCTAATATATCCCATCGAGCTTTTCAGATCATCTGCTTCTCTTTCTTTTGAGTATACACGTTACATCTCTAAAACATGTAGAAACTATAGCCAAACATTCTCCAACCACAAGATTTTTGCTGTAATTTTCATTGTCAAATTTCATCATGTGCCAATAAATTGGTGACCATGTTTATAATCGGATAACAAACCAAAACAAAAAGGATATAGTATATACATTCAGGTGATTACTCACCATACTCCACATACCACTACTTTTGTTTGTCTATCCTTGTTAGGTAGACCTCGCGTTATACTGAAGACAACAATCGTATTTTACAATATGTAATCAAAAACACAGAACAAAATCTAAAACTTCTCCGTGCAGTGCCTATTACTAACATGAATCACCAGACCTCATCAAATACAGTCATATACCCAAGAATTTATATACACAACACGATATGAAAACCTTAACAAAAACACATCCCAACAACACTCAACTACAATAACCTATCAATGCAAATTAGGAAAA